TATACTCACTATTTTCAACATGTAATTGTTTTTATGATGGAATTTAAATATAATTAAAAGTCTGGGTCTGGAAGACGGGTAAAAAGATTAAAACTATACATAAAAGACATTTGAAAAGTAAACGATAGTAAAAACGGTTCCAGGACAGTTTTAATTTGGACTTTAGCCACCTATTGGGACGGACTACATTTCCAATCATGGCAACTAAAGCTGCATCCCAAATGATGCACTATGCATTTATACACTATGTACTTATACTCAGCCATGTAATGTATGGATTTTATAAGGTTATTTTGTAATTCATAATCAGAGCCCCTCCCCATGTGCTTCGTAATTAAAGCTGCGGCAGTTGAGTTTTTTTTCAATTAAGTGCATCATCCAGTGTGTTAAGTGTGAATGCACTACTTGCACTATTTATACTACAAAAAACAGCACAGAATAGTGCATAAGTACATAAATTGGGATGCACCTTTAGCCTCAGTTACTGTTTTTGTTTTCTGTCCACTGTTTTTCTCTTCGTTTCAATCTTGCCATCATTTGCTAAATCAGGTATGTCTGCGGTCGCAAAGCATGAAGATGCAATGGTGTCCAGTTGTTGTCCTGACCACTAAATTTAGCCTTGTGAGAGCCAGGGCCTGACCACTACCTGTTTTTATGTGTGGACTGTAGAGGTATGCATCTATCTGGCACTTCTGTCCACTTCTACTGCTTGCAAATTATCCACTCTATTGCCATCTCATCTTTGAGCAAACCATTTATTCAGCTACAATTTGTTCGCTGCAGCTTAGATAGACACAATCATACAACCCATATAGCAATTACAAACATACTTTCCCCCTTACACATTACATCCGTATACGCTCATAAATCTGACTGTATTTAGACAAAATAGCATATATGATTTTATCGCACAAGCTGTGGTAAACTGCTGATAATAAATCATCTGAAACTGAATGTAATTATGAGGCTTCAACTCATAATTAACACACCCATAAACGTAAAGAATAACTCTCTCTGACCATCATCTATTTCTGTGCTGATCGGAATCTCTTTGAGGAAAGCCACAGTATATTTTCTGTCCTTACTAAATTGAATCGACAACACATGTTTAAGTTTAGTTTAATTCTTTGGGAAACCAGATCATAAAATATCATTAATGTAATTAGCAGATCTTTAAATGCTCTCCAATGCAGAAGATGCCAGTTGTTCTGTTTAATAAGATTGGGGGCAGGATAATTGTTTTTCAGCCAGAATGAAAAATGTAATCACTAATAGATTCAAGTCATCTGAAAGGACAGCATTGGTGGAGAAGCCCTCAGGATCAAACCTGCAAAGACAAAGCAAAAGATCTGTCTGGCCATGTTTACATGTTCATATGTGTTTTGGGGATTTTTATATGGAGGGCGTAAGGAGTTTGCTCTTTCATCTGAATGTGAATATGATGCGTTGGATGAATGTTAACAGTTTTATCTCTCAGGTTAATCCATGGCGAGGAGATGTGCAAAGAACTGGAGAAGTGATGGATGAACAGGAGTACCGAAGAGGTCAGACCAAAAGCTGTGGTCATTGCAGGGTTTAAATGGAGGCTACGTCCAAAAGCTGAAAAATGCAACCCCTGCAGGCAGCCTATGGAGGTAGGAAGGTAACAGGGTATATCTGAATCCAATGACTGTGACATCCTCTCTATGGAGGCTACGTTCACACTGCAGGCAAATGTGGCCCAAAGCTGATTTTTTTTTGCTCACATGTGACTCAGATCTGTTTTTCTCATGACAGTCTGTACGTTTACATCGACAACAATATTCCAATTTTAACACGATTAAGACAATACTCTGATTAAGAATCTACCATGTAAACAGAGATTTCTGATTACCTTAATCTGGCTGAATTCATACTTGAAGTAAACACAAATCGAATTAAGACATGAGGAGTATTCCTATTTTAGTCACATTATCAAAGTGCAGTATAGACATGTACACACCTTAATCACATTATTACCGTCGTGTACGACTTTTCGCTGCATTTTGCGACAGGATACACACACGGCAGTGGTCCGTTTGACGGCAAACAAAAGAGCATGGCTTAAACAACGCCGTCGTCTGTTTGCTCGTATAGCATGACAAATAATCCACGTCTTAATTCGATTTGTGTTTACTTCGAGTATGACTTTAGCCGGATTAAGGTAATAAAAAATCTCTGTTTACATGGTAGATTGTTAATCAGAGTATTGTATTAATTGTGTTAAAATTGGAATGTTGTTGTCCATGTAAACATACTCAGTGTGAGGAGCACAAACCACGTGGAATCTGATCTTTTTCAAATTCCGTTTTGTGCCACTTCCATATGTGGTACTAAATCTGTTACAGGTCCGATGTTTTGCAATGCGACTGCAGTCTGATGAACAGTCATATCGGAATTCGCAAGTGTTGCCAAGTCCTCTGTTTTCCCGTGGAACTGGACTACATTTTTCACTGTTGCCGCAGGTTGTTTTTCAACTAATGTGGGTTGAAGTGACCACACTAACACAATATTTACCCCCCAGAATGTGATTGGCCTAGTTTTAGACTAGTTTTGAGAAGCAATTGTGCGGATTTGGATTGTGAAAACCTGGCAACCCTGTTCGTATTGTTCTTTTGCGTATTCAGTTCAGAACCATGATCTTTTCACACTAGAAATCTGATACTGGCCACATTTAAAGGGGTCATATGATGCTATTTCAATTGGTCCTTTCTCTTTGGAGTGTTACAAGCTCTTGGTGCATAAAGAAGATCTGTAAAGTTGCAAAGACTAAAGATATTCTTTATAAAAGTTAAGAGTCAGCCACACCTACCTAAAACGGCTCGTTCTAACACGCCCCCACATGTCTAC